AAGCTAAAAATATGACACATAAAAAGGCCTTAAAGGGCTGCTTTCCACTTACGCGCGGAAAACTTGAAATTAAACTTTTTTAATATTTTACGCATGGATCACAAATGCATAGTAAAATATGTATGAAACTAAGTCATTACGATTTATTCACCTAGCTTTTTGAAATATGACATATATAAGAACTTAACCGTATACGCGTAACCTAGAGTATACATTAATAAGTCTTAATTGGATGGACAAATCTGTGCGCACTTTTTAATAATAGCTCTCTTTAAAACTAAACCTTCTTATATCAATAGACGCTGGGAGGAAAATGAATGCAATACAATATTCAGTGATTAACGATCTTCAGATACAGTATGGTAAAAGTTTCGCCCTGTCAGCCAAGATACAATCAGGAGACAAAGTCCTTGATATGGGATGCGGAACAGGTGAACTTACTTCATTCCTTGCGGAGACAACTGGTATAAAAGAAGGTTTAGTAGTTGGTGTTGATCCAGACGTTGAGAGAATTAAAGTTGCAATTCAGAAACATTCTGGTACCCAGGAAAATATCGTATTTCAACCTGGCGACAGTTCGAGTCAATTTCCTCACTTCAATGAACAATATTACGATATACATTTCAGTAATTTCGTATTTCAGTGGCTGAACGATGAAGAAAAGCAAATCTTTGCCCAAACTGCTTTCAAATGTCTGAGACCAGGAGGCAAGATTGCGATTCAAAGTCAAGAAGATGACGCCGACATTGTCAAAAAAGCTGTTGATCTATTCTTTGAAGATAAAGAAAAGGCGAAGCCACAAGTACCGGTTTATTACGTTAAGAAATCTGACGCTGAGGCGCTGCTTCGGAAATCAGGTTTTGTTGTTGTCACCAGTGAATATTATCAACGTTCATACACATTCCCAAGTGCAGACGAGTTTTTCTCATTTTTTTGTGCCTCGGATTATTATGATGCAACAAGCATTTCATCCATTAGTAAGACCAAGTTTTTTGACCAGATCGTCAACCCTGATAAAACAGTAACCGTTTTTGCCCCAAATGTTTACCAAATAATCGCTGAAAAGATGTCGTGAACTACATTATGCATGTGGGAGACTAGTAATTGACATTAACTAGCAATAATATATGATATGAAAATCGTTCTTTCCAGTTAACTTAACATTAATATAATAATCTACAGAGCGTATATAATTGAGAAATGAAAGTTAAAGCCGAGAAAAGTGCTTTCAAACAGGAACTTTGAAAACTACTTTATTATTGCCAAACTACTTACAATTGGGGGTGCATATTGGTCGCATACTCAACAGCGTAGTTAGCCTGAGAATTGTCCCGCTTTTCTAATATTTTAGTATTCATTGACTGTAAACACCATATATAGATGAAGAATAAATTTCTAAATATACGAATAATCATAATAACCCGGAATATTTATAGTCTGAAACTATGACGAAGAGCATGCATTGGGTAATGTGCTTTTCCGATGTTTTCAAAGCTTGTTGCAGATTGAAGTCCGCCAAATATATCCGACATCAAGCCTCACTGGACGGTTTTGTTAAAAGGTAAATTTACGATGTGAGAACAAAATTGACCACTTTCGGTTAGGTTTTGCTTTCAAGGAACCAATCCCCAGGTTTCTGGATCTTGAAGTAATGGTGACTTTGTTAGGATCATTCGGCGATTATTTATTGAATATCCTATTGTATAAACCAAGTTTAGGAAAAGTTCGACATATGCCTCGTTTCTCTCCAAGTTTTCCTTTTTTTGTTTTTCATTTAGTAGAGATCTATCTAGTCTCATAGAAGACAGATGTATATTTACATTGTTAGGAAACAAATTCCCTGGATAGGTGTTCCAAGGGCAATTTAAAACATTATAAGGTGATTCAATTCTGCATATTTTTCTTCTAGTCTCAGGATCCCGATTGCCTAGAGAATCGTCTCCTACCACTAGAATTGCAATTACATTTACATAAATTTTTCCATGAATCGAAGGAGACTGTTCATTTCACCCTGTTTGTGACGTGCTTGCCCTTATCCAGTATCTTCCCGCGGTCTCATTAGTTTGAGATTCAACAACGAATGTCTCTCCAGGAAACACAATAACCGATTCAGGATTTTTGACAGGTTTCACTGGCTGTCCGTCGCTCTCTATGACAGTTATCAAGTGTCCATGGACACCTGGAGAAGTAAATCTAGAGCTAGTTAAAGGGAACGAAGAACAAAAGTTAGTAGATCCTGAGCTGTATAGAAGTCTAGTTGGTTCACTTCTATTCATTGGCAAGCAAACACGCCCAGACATCCTATACGTCTTCAATCAACTGTCGCGATTCTTAGATAACCCAACACATCACATTGGAGAGCGGCCAAACACGTCCTGTGATACCTAAAAGGAACTATTGCTTTACAATTAACATTCTCAAAGAATTCAAACCTCAATGTGATTAGTGAGTGACTCAGATGCTGATTGGAATGGAGATCTCAACGACCGCAAGTCAACCACAGGATGCTACTTTAAGTTTGAAGAAAACGGTGGTGCCATATTAGCTGGGAGAATCATCTGCAGAAGTACCAAGCTATGGCTGCAGCAGTCCAAGAAGCTATCTACCTACGAGCACTCCTAGAAGATCTTGGTATACCAGTTTTCATCGACCAACCCACATTGGCGAAGACAAGCAATCATGCATAAAGATGTGTCATAATCCAGTGACGCATTAACGATCCAAAGATATCGCAACGAAATTACATTTCTTAAGAGAAAGAGTGAAAAACAAGGAAGTAAAGATTCGCTATGTTCGAACCGAAGAAATGCCAGCAGACATTCTAACGAAATCATTACCTAGAGTGAAAGTGGAAAACACTTGCCGATTTATTCGCTTGTTATTTATAATCGCCATTTGAGTGATGTAAAAGAATTGACTGGGTTGTGAGTATTGTCCAATGTACATACCAGTGTCGTCCAGTGAGTCATACATTTTGCATACTTCAAGATCCAAAGAATAGAAAATTGAAAAAAATCGCTGGAGGTCTACTCAGAACCCTTAATAATGTCAAGCAAGCATCTACAGACTGGGGATCCAAAACCTGAATTCGATAAGACGAAGAAATTTCGAATTTATAGTATGAGATATTGCCCTTTTGCACAGGTAGGAATATCGTCAGCCGTCAGGGTTGATTAAACTCAAATTACTTTGTAACATTGATATATGTTAAACCTCATGGGAAAGTTTCTATTAATTTAATAGCCAGGCTATCAATTTCGTGTCAGGTATAATTATTAAATCATACGTATAATTATTAAATCATAACTCTGGCAATAGATGTATATATGTATATGTTTGTCATGTAAAAGCAAGCTCGCTTTAATATCACTTGTGAGATAAAAGTATGTGTTTGTCCTCCTGACTATATTTAAGTTGTGATTGTCTTCCATGGCACGGTCATGAGTTATAAATAAGACAAAAGCAAATGAAGTTGATATTTAGGGCCTGTTTACATGAAGCATTAGTATTTCATTATACCAGGTATGCAGTTTTCAACTCGCTCCATGTAAACAGGCCCTTATTAAAGCATATCTGTCTGCCGTCACGCAAGCTATTACTCTAAGACACGGGAAAACAAACCTTTGAACTCGAGGTTTTAAGAATGCGATGTGAGAAATTATACATATAGAATAGAAATAATAGCAATATTTTTATTATATATGGAATTTGTAAATGAGTTATTTGGCAGAATGCTCAATTGACATCCTGTAGTATGAAACTGTTTATAATAAACATATATCAATAAACTTGATTTTCTTAATACAATTTATTAAATTTGTTTGGTTTATTAACAAGGACAGCCTACCACACTCATCAGGTTGAATTCAGATTCAAATTCCCCTGATGAGTGTGGCAGCTAGGTAGGCTCTGCTTGTTTATACAAAACAAATGTGTATAGTTAATCAACTAATAAATGTTAAGTAAACCAACCATCTTATATTGTATTTATGTATTGAATTTTTCAGCTGTTATATATTTAGAAATCCTGTGATTTAAAACCAAGTTGTATACCTGAGACCTTTCGGTCAAGATACCATATTATTTGGCAGTTTTACCAGATGATACAACTCTGTATCATTAGTTTTATGGATGTTAGAGCATTTCTTAATGAAGCAATTTGTATAATAGGTAGACAATAATCTTCCCTGAACATTTTGATAAGTGTGCCTCAATTTCCTGCATATGACGTACATATTGTTAGTACTGTTTACATACCTTACCTTACGGTAGCTCATGAGCAAGATTTACTGTGTGAACATCATATATTATTACCTGTTGCATTTTTTTCTACCATATTTCGCAAAGTTTTAAATAAAATAAATCAATCTACTCTCATATCTTGTTTTGTTAGTTAAAAACTGGGAGTTATGCCTAATTTTGCATGCTTTGTCCGCAGGATTTACATGTATATTGAAGTAATGCTACTAATTTGCCACCATATCATTATATTTCTCATAGCATATTTGAAAGCACTTCTTATAGTAAAGAGTTCTGCTCTCTGCTACAACAATCACAAACACTATTGTGGATGAACTATACTTCAATCATTAATAGCCCTGATTTAGGGCAGTGTACATGTCTGTCAAGTTTGTATATACCAATCGTAACATGAGGCGCACTTATCCAAATATTAAAACAAGATTGAAAAGTGACAAAACTGTACCTTTTTTACATGAATTCATTTTCGGGGTCTAGTTTACCCACTACAGTATACCATCAAGCTAAGCTGGACCAGAGAATACACAGGTTTGAGGTTTTCATCATAAAATTCACATAATTATCATCAAGCAACAACATGCTGTTCTGTAGGCTTTGCAAATCCTGGCCATCTCACAGAACAGAAAGATTTCTTTAACAATTTTTCATTGATATTGTTTGGTTAATGATTGTTTCAAGGTTTCAATTGCCTTACAGATGTAATCCCTTTTTAGTGCAAAGTTGGTTTGAAAATTTCCAGTATTATTGTGAGTAGCCAGCCAGTCAGTCATACATTCAGGTTTTTCCATCATTCACTTGTCTTATTTAACAATTCCTTAGCCCTTTTGCGCCATGTTCACAAAAAAATATCGAGGAATCTGTGTCGTTGCTGTGAATTTTACAACATTGCTTGATTTGCTTCTCTGTGGTGTGGTTTGGTAAGGAGGAACTAATCCCCCCCCCTGAGACACCTAATTTTTTCTTGCGCATGTGCTGTCAAGACCTTGATCAATATTCACGATATATCGATAGACGATAGGAGCAACGAGCGGCATAGGGTTGCTTCGAGGTTTAAACATTTCTGACACAAAAATCGAGTAACTGTAAATCCTCCAGAGTCTATATACGAAGTTTATGAGTTTGTGTTATGCATTGGGACCATGAATGAAAATAAAATTTATCAAATAAAGAACTAGCAGAAACAACGCTGTGTTGTTTAGACATCTCTAACGTGAATATAGTTGTTGATACTTGTTATTTTTACTCAGTAAATAAACTATTTAGCACTATGAAGCCTGGATATTAGATGCAGTATATATAAAAGCGCTAGACCAGCCTGCCCAGGGGCCGGTTGTATATGAATGCCCAAAGCCGGATAGCGCTACCACCGTGTGCATAAAAAAAGCACGACCTATAATAATTCTGATAATAATAATGAATATAAAATAAAAGCATGGTTTGTCGGTGATTTTTTTAAACTTTGCATGAGAAAATAAACTGAAAGAATTCAATAAGGGCAATATCGCGGCTAATTTAATTTGAGTACTTTTAGGTATTGCGTAATTTGAGTACTTAAAAATTTTCAAATTTTCCATAAATTATCGCAATACTATTAGGAATGAACTTTCCGTTTGATTCGGGAATACGTTTAACCTTATACTTTATATTTCAAAAACCTGGTTACGTTGGGGCAGTCGTCTGCTTGCCTACATAGCCAGTTAAGTATCGGGAGGGCGCCAAATCTTTGCAATGTCCTTGGAACCGTGGTTTATATTCAAGTCACTAAAAGTACGAAAAAACTGGTACTCATAATTTGTGACAGCAGCGGATGAAAAATTCAGGCCCATGGGCCCATCACCTATAATACCATAGGGAGAAGCGGGGGGGGGGGGGTTGTCCGTAAATATGTCGAAATGCAATGAAGGGGAGTTCTTCAAAACGACGTTCTCCAATGTATATATATATAGTTGCTTTATCCAGTGTACTTTCAGGTCAGTGCACAACGCTCTCCCTGAGTGTTATCCGACCTATACAATCGAATACTTTGTATATATATATATTGACTGTGAATGAACTTTTACAGAGAGCAAGAATAGTAGCGGCAGCCAAGGGACTTGAAAATTATGATATCGTGAATATCAAATTACGTGATGATCTCCCGGAGTGGTATCTTGCAATCAATCCAGCTCGTTCGGTGCCCTCCGTTGAATTTCCTGATGGTCGCACTGTTAATGAATCTCTTGTTGTTGCAGGTATATACATGCTGTGTGTTACACGTACATAATAAACTACTTTTAGAATAGCTTTATCTGCAACCCTGCCTAAAGTATTTGCCTAGAGTATATTCGAATGGGTATCGACCTCGGTCATTCGTTAGGATTGTCAGGTCAGTGAAAGCCATCGCCCATAAGACCGAATGTTTATAGGAATTTAATACGGCTCTTTCGTGTATAGATTTCAGCAGGAGTTTTGTTGTTTATTTTTATCTGCAGCCCTTATTTTTCCCACCATTTTTAGATTTGCTTGACGAACTTTATCCCGAGAAACAATTACAACCAAAGGATCCCATTGAGAAAGCCAAACAAAGAGTTTTTGTCGAAAAATACGGGAAAACGGTTAGTTTGAGCTGCAATTTTAGGTTGTATCCTTTGCTCCCTTTTTATCTATAGGTCAGAGATGACATAAAGAAGCAGTTAGTGAGACAGTTTTATTTTTTTTTTCATGTTTATCATGGATTTTCAAGTTATCGCTGTTTTTCATATTGTTCACACTATTTTCCTTGTATAGTTTTATGAAATAGGTGAAATAGATTCATATTTATTATTCTACAGTTCATTCCACCATATTACAAGCATTTGAGAGAACGTACCGAGGAAACCAAAGCAGATTTGGCAAAGAGTATTTGCGAGGTTGAAAAATATTTAGCTGATAAGAAAGAAAAGTATTTTGGAGGTAGGTAAATTAAAAATTGTTTACTATTGACGCTGATTTTATTATTTTTAACAGGCGAGTCAACAGGAATTTTAACCGTATTTGAATGATTTTTTTAATACATTATACATTATTTCTTTTGAATGAATGTTAACGTTATCAGTGATTTTCTGCACATCCTTATCAGAACAATTGATACAAACGCGATCTTCCCCGGCAGTAGTTCAAAATCCGGCTATAGCTAAGCTTGAAGTGGCATAACGGTATAACAGTAACTCAATAATGTAAAGGTTAAAGCAAGTTAATGTACAGTAAGTGGCATGATGTTTAGCGTATTAGAAAAATAATCTTGTAAATTTGAAAAAATTAAACCAACCCGCGAAAGAGTACAGTTTTACACGGGGTCAATTTAAGAACTACTCCCTGAGTGTTGATGCATGTGTGCGTCTGGACGAAGTCCCCTCTTTGGAATCAAACTTGTAATTAAAATATGATAATATTCAAGGTCTTGTAGTCACGACAAATGCCATGCATATATTGTACCGCTACACTGCATGGGTATACTCTTTGTTTCCGGCATCTTAAAAAACGACACTTTCTTATCCAGGTAATCAGGCAGGAATGCTGGATTTCATGGTATGGCCTTGGTTCGAACGCCTTCCTACTATATATAGTCTATCTGCTGACGCCTATCCATGTCTGGCAAACTGGTTTAACCTGATGCAAAATGAGCCTGGAATTAAAGAAACCGCATTTTCAAAAGAGAAACACTTGAAATTTTACGAGGGATATCTCACTGGTAAACTTGAGTATGAGTTAGAGTAATTGACGTTGCTTTCTTTCTAATTATGTATTTTCAAACATGAGCGTACTCGCTCTCTCCGTAAAGTTTAATATTGGGAGCCAGTTATGCCTGGTGAATCTTGTATGTAGTTGATAGAAATAAAATTGATGGTTGCAGGCTATATAAACAGACTCTTCAATTACTCCAATTTCATCCAATCAATGCTCATATATAGTGTTTTATATAAGTTTTTTAGAGCTGGGTTTAGTATTTTTCATTTTCCTGTTTTGAAAAGTTTCAATCCAAAGGAATAATGAACTCTCTTCTAACTTAGGCCATGTGCACACGAGCGTCGATTTCGAGCGTTTTCAAATAGTTTTAGTCTATTTTATTGTTTAGACGCCCTGCCCATGTTGTAGTTAGCATTTAGCTCTCCTCTCCATGGGGACCATGACAATGAAGAACGCCATGTGTTGTTGTTAAGTATCTCTAGGTCTTTCAGTAGGTTTATATCTTATAAATTGCATGTGCTAATGAGCTTGTAAGTCGTTGTTATTTAAAAAAAAGGAATCAATAAGAGCAATTTACCACAGTTTGTATTCTCATCTGTAGCAAAAGACGCTACATCCACACGATCTAAGAGAAAATATGCCTATAATATGATAAATTGGCTTCAACTTCTATGGTAAATTGACGATGTTTGAGACCGTTTTGGCATGTACACGATCGAAAACGTTACTGTGTGCACATGGCTTTAGACATGTTTTGTCAAAATATAATCACTCTATCAACTATTTTTTGTCTTTTCAAAAGGGGATTAAAGAGTTCCTGGGCTTTTAAATATTCTGGCTGTAATGTTCTTTTGCGACCTCGTTTTTTTTCCTATTATGAGTTAATTTTGCCCGTATGCCAAAAAATCACTTATTTTTGTATGCATGTCATGCTTTAACATTTCATATTTTGTACATGTATGCTTACGTCTGCAGAAGACCATAATTGGCATGTTCATCGACATTCAAATGTTTCGTCTAAGCTGGGCTAAAGGCCCACACACACACTTCACGCGATTCGCTAACGCGACGCGAATTTTTCCATTTCAGAAGCAAATAAATTCAATTCCGAACGAAAATTTTGAAAATAGGTAATTAGCAAGAATATCACAGCATTTTCAAAATGAGCAAATTTTGAAAACTGAAAAATTCGTGATATTCGCGTCGCGTTGGCAAATCACGTCCGGTGTGTGTCGGCCTTAAGAAAGCAGGAAGTTATAAGAGAACACGCACAAGACGAGTGTATTGTGCATGTTAACTATACGTAATTTGTATACATAAAGACGTGCAGAATGAACAAAGAAGCTCAAGGAAAGGGTTTTTTGTGTTTACTTCCCAACCGCAATTAACTTTGTTTAACTTTTGGTATTGGCTTCATAAACGTCATCACTATATTATGTACTTTCCACTTACACATTTTTCATACGCACGTACACCAAGGGAAAATTTATTATTTATTCAACAAATGCGTATTAAATATGAAATCCAAAATTCAAGAATTGTTATTGTTTCTTTTAAAGCGACAATAACAGAGATTATAATCGCACATTCTTGCCGGATTCTTCTTCTTCCACAATAACAAACAGACAGTGTATAATGGCAAAGTCTTTAAGTCCCCGCATATTGAACTTTCAAAGGTACATGCATGTGTATACATCACTGACAAATCTAAAAACCGATTCCGAGAATCATCTGCCAATGACATATTCTTGTACAAATGGTTTATAAGTTTCCCACGAAATTCTTTCATAGCGCGCCTATTTATCTTTCATGCATGCCTGGAATGCCAGCATGATGTCTGAATATGTCGCTTTTTTACAAATGACATATCATTTGGATTCGAGTTCTTAATTTATAGATATTTAGATATTATAGATGTTTAGATTATATATCACTCAATGAAGAAAGGTAAGTTTTTTCTGATATACTCTATTTTAAACGCAACCAGGTGCCGGTTATTATCAAAATTATCTATTTATTGAACGACTGGAAGTCAGCAAATTCACTAAAGGTAATATATATAACCAGTGACACATGCCGCGTTTAGAGGAAGGGCATGTGTAGATGTGTCTGGTTGCATGGAGTCACGTATAGAACACAGACAAATAGTTTCCTGGTGCGCGTCTTTCGCATGATACAAACTAAAGTCCAAACTATTTAAATACATTTTGCTTCCTAAAATGCAAAATGAGACATTTCTCGAGTAGACATCTTGTGTTCTTGATATTCAAGATAAATCTGATATTTCGTCTCTATTCCGGTAACCTATATGTAATGCAATTTACAAATTACGTGGCGGAGATATTATATTACAAGGCGATACTGTGCGATACTAATGGTTAGAACAATGAAATTTTTTTACAGGCATTGAGACCCCAGTTAAGTCGTGGCATATTAGGTTTGATTAATAGCGCTTCTATATATTAGGAATTGATTAGGATTGTTCAGCGGTATAAAATTTTAGTATTAGATAAAATTAGATTGCAAGGATTACAGAATAGGTTATAGTAAAGTCCTCTTTAGAGTCAATGCATGTCAAGAAATGATGAAAAGGCAAGAGATATAGCACTAGAATTGTTGTTGAGTGCTGTACGCCACGAATTTAATAGTCGATTTAAAAGTTACGTTCGGTTTTGCCTATGTACGTATTGCAACAACCAGGGCATTTATATTCGTACACGACGATATTGCTAGTTAGTTAATCTGAATCGAATTCTGTGTATTCATTATTTTTCAAAAAAGATCGATATCAGTAAACTGATGGTATCAATTGAAACGAAGTGGATAATTATGCTTTAAGTTATATATAGAAATTTAATCGTTTTCCTAACAGACATCTCGACAATTCTAAAAGCATTATGCTAAATTAACATCTTACTGCCCTTGGTCTTATGTTTTCTGTAGGTACGTTCATAAGAATGGATTTTGTTTTTCAAGAATTAATATTTGTTGTCTTGTACTCGCAGGAGGTAAGATTGCGATAAAAAGACTTGAATTTAGCAATTGTCTTGCAGTTGTACTGATTGTAAACATGATAAATCACCGGCAGCCACGAGCATGCACTTAAATTTTTCAATTCTCGTCTTTAGCATCTGCTCTGAATAGTGGTCTTGAAAAACAAGAATCAAGTACGCACCCATTGATGGCAACTCGTACGAAAAGAGAGGTTTCGGAATTGCTTAACAACAGCGCAAATGGAACTGATGAAGGTAAAGTTACCTTTAGAAACTAAGCTAGAAGCTTAAATATTCCTCTTATGCTTGACTAATTTAGTTTGAAAGCGACTGTTCGATCCTAAGCTAGTGCACGTGGTTTGGGAACTGAGATTGACCTAAAGGTCTGTTCACACGATCCGACAATATTGCCAGTAAATAAGTGATTTTGTTATTATATCTAGAGTCAAAATGAAAATAAACCGGAGGCAAAGTAGAGCCAATTCCTAGACATTACCTGTACAGATTAGAATAGGAAACAATATAAAATTTACTTCAAAAACGGTAAAATTCTTTGTTCTCAAAAATATACATTTTCGCCACTTTCCTGTGTTTGCACGGTCGCATTACTAGAGAAGCATAGCAACGGGTATCAAGTTTCATAATATGCCCTGGAGAAAATTATGAAATTCGATGCCCGCTCGTGTTGATCACGCGTGATCATGGAGATTGGAAGCCCTACACGCGTGGACATTTTGTCCAATAGGAAAGCAGAAAAGATGAATTTTAACACTAGGTATATAACAAAGTATGTTGAGTTGCAATGTATATGGGGAAGAAATCAACTAATTAAAGACAATGCAGTACTGCTTTATCAAGAACAAACTACATTCCACACGTCATAGGTGAATTGGTTCCAACAAATTCGGAACGTCTGAGCCTTAACGTAAAGCAAGTTAAGTGATAATTAGGATTACACGAATATAGTTTTTAAAAAATTCTAAGGCACGATGAATTGAATAATGAACACTCATGCAAGGACATTGGATATTGTAAAGTGGTTGTGGTGGGGTAACATTTTTATATTCATGTTAGCAGACAGTAAAAGCAATCAAATTCAAAGGAACTAATAATGCTGAATATGTAGAGTAACTCCCCTCCCCCCAACAATCGTGCTGGCTATGGGCTGTTCACATGAGCCCGGTTACCGAGATTTAACTAAGCGTAAAATGGACTTGAGGTATTGATTATCGTAATCGTGTTATATTTACCCAATGCAGTGCCCCAAAGACCATTAATTTTCACGCTTCGTCAAATCTCGGTAACCGGGCACTGAACAGTCCCTTAAATGCCTTTCAAGGGACAAGATTTTTGTTTAAAATAATTACTAATTCGTATAATTATTATTGAATCAACTCTTGTCCAATCACACCAGCTATACGGCAAATTAAAATTTTAAAACTTCCAAGTCCAACGAAGCTCAGGCAAACACTCTCTTGAAAATAATTTTTTACCATATTTGTTTAATTTTTACTGCGTTTTTGAATGCTTACAGCGGAAATCTGCTATTATTGCACTGAATTAGTGTAATTCTAAAGCCAGTGACAAATGACTGGTGACTTCTGATATTTCTCACATTTCAGACATAAAGGAATGTACGCGAAAAGTTGACCTCGGGTTTTTGATAGACAGTTCCGGCAGCGTCAAGGAGGAGGATTTTGAAAGAATGAAAACATTCGTGAAACGTCTTACTGACCATTTCAAGATTTCACCGAATTTCACAAGAGTGGCTGGATAACGTACAATTCGCGTATAAATGTGCGTTTTCTATTTTCTCAACTGTTTGAATCTCAAAATGAGTTGGATACAGCAATCGATGAAATTGGATATACTGGAGGTGGCACCAACACAGGTGCAGCGTTGACTATAGCATATACGGTCATGTTTAATCCTGTTAACGGCTGTCGTCTTTCAGGTTTGCAATTCATTATATTTCAAATATTTTTTAATTATATTATCTCTCTATTATTATAATCTTTCTATAATTTGTATTGCTCTTTGTATTTGCGCCTCGGGCTTTCATTCAATGATCTTCAATGCAATTTTTTGTAAGTGTTAAATCTAAATTTTGAAATTGGGGTTTATACAGTTCGGCTCCTTTTTCTTCTTTGATTCTAATTTTCTTGAAAAACAGCATCCATGTTCTTATTAATTAAAATTGGTTGGGATAAGAAAAGGAAAGTACAACGGAAACTAAACACGCCAATGCTGTCTGAATTTTTACGTTTGTTTGTGAAAATTTTTTCAATGCTGTGCTTTTTCCAGTCAGGGGTTTTATTGTCGTTGAAAATATTAATTTTTCCGCCATCATGAC